TTAAAAAAATCTTTCCTGAATTTGTCATGTCAGATCTTGTTGGCAGCTGTCACTCCTCACAAGTACCAGTTTCAAATTCTAATGAAAACACCATTCACAAAGAGATTTTAATTGGATCAAGTCAGACAATCGATATTTTTAAAAGACATCATACTTTTAAGTGCTTTCAAAATAAGTAGCTTCTTGGCAGAATGTAAGATACAAGCACAGGTATATATACCTCGATGTTTGGATGCTCATCATGCCAATGTGCGGCATATATATTTTCTCCCAAATGGGAGGATTGTATGACCACTCACCTGAGCAGCCAATTTTTAATAATTCAATGTGCACTTTCTTATTCCTTTTCTCATAGCCAAAGGAATAAAAATAGCTTAGTTTCTCCTGTATGTCTCATCTTTCTGGACTTAATTCTGTACATGACTGCAGAGATTTTGCAGAATTTACTGGATTGAAGATTGCTTTGACTTGGGAAATCCTATGATAGTGGAATACAATACGAGTGATAGATCAAAGAAAAAGAATTAGTTAATTCCCTATCATAATAAAATGCCAATATATCATAGAGATTCAAATTTGAATTCATTAAATGCTTTTATAAAAATAGATTATGTGATTACTTAAAAACAATATTTCTAATGCCGGGCGATGGTGGCGCACGCCTTTAATCCCAGCACTCGGGAGGCAGAGGCAGGCGGATCTTTGTGAGTTCGAGGCCAGCCTGGTCTCCAAAGAGAGTTCCAGGAAAGGTGCAAAGCTACACAGAGAAACCCTGCCTCAAAAAAGAAAAAAAAAAAACAATATTTCTAACAAACCTTAGTAATTCTAACACCATATTTTTATTGATATTGAAAATAGTCATTAACCCTAAAGTAACATATATTTCCCATTTTTCTCCCATATCATCTGTCTTCTACAAGTGTGTATATATCTATAAAAAGACATATGAATACACTGATGCATACATGTATACTTCTTATGTAAACACACATATACACAAATATATACCTTCAATTATAATAGTTCACCCTGACATAATGTAATTCATCAAAATAGGAGTTGTATATTCTATAACTGTTTCAGTAAGTGGTTAATGAGACAATGACATTGGCCCAGTTCACCTAAGAACCCTCTTTCAATATGTATTAAAAACTTCCTGTTCTTGGAAATCAATTTAGCAACCTAAAAAAGCCAACTTCTAAAGTGCCAAAAGGAGATAGCATTACTTCTTAAGTCAATAGTTTGCACTTGACCTAATACCATCAATTATGTCTGTACAAATTGTTAGCTGCAGCCTATACCATCTTGCTGCACAGTCATGAAAGACAAGAATAAACTGTCTATGTTATATACTTATTTCAAAATGTGTAATTAAAATAACAAAAATGTGAAAAATAAACAATTAAGTTGTCATACATACTGACATTTTCCTTAATGGTAGCACCATTAGCATTATGGGATAGATGCTTCAAGATAAACTTTTAGGACTTCACATTTTAAGCACTTTGCATGATGAATCTTGGAGACTTTCTTCATTGTCTTTCATGCTTCAACAATGGCACTACTTTAAAATGTGAAAGACAAACTAGAAGTTATTTCCATTTTCCTTCATTCACATAGGCTAATTTTGTAAATGTGGTTATTTCTATCAGTTGAGAAAGCAAACCTTAGAAGAACCATATATTGGAAGGTTTGTTCTTTACAATACCTAGAGATGAAATGCTATAAAGAATGATGCATATGCAGTCATCATCTCTGTGATATGATTGAGAAGAAGTGTAATATTTCACAACCTAGTTTGGAATGTAAGGACTGAAGGTGCCTCTGGTTTAATAACATCTTCCTAAGTTTTAGGTAAGTGTCATCAGCTTTGAGTTCATTTTGTTTAGTCCTTCAGAAGACAGGCAAATTAGATGACTGCTCAATCAAGCACACTGATTTGCTCAAGATGGTGACAGATACGTGTAAGCTTCTCATACTTATTCCATTAATCATATTAATCACTCACATCTATCTACTGAATTCTTCTTTTATAGATGTGAGAAATTTTTACTGCCTATCCAATTAAATTATTGTCTCCCAATTTATTAGTCTGATATTTGCATAGGAACTGTTCAAAACTGCCCCTTGCAAAACACACAGGGAAATATATTTAAGATAATATTTTCTGAGTGGCTGCTCACAGTTCCCATCTTAGTAAGAGAGCATAACAGTTTCGTGTTGCTATTAACCAGACTAAGTGGGTATTTCAGCTATGTATAGTTTATGACAACTAAATGTATCACAGTTTAGTGGAATGACTCTTCCATTGAATACCTTCTTTTTCAAGGCATTGTCTTAGAAATTTCACAGTCATGGCAATGTGTTCTAGTGGAATCCTTACTGCTTTGATAGTTTCTTATTATGTTTTTTTTTAAATCACAAATGGTATTATAAACATACAAATAATTGTTCGGAGTCTATACTGCTGATATTATGAATTATGTAAACAATGCCAGACTCAAGACAGAATACAGTAACTGCTAAAATATCAATTTGGGAAAATAGTTGCCTCATTTCCTGGCTCTGTTTCATAGAGTACCTTTCGTTAAAGGACATTCTCTTAACAGCAGAACGTTTTGTGACAAAGAGAAGATGCTGAGAACCTCTCTGTCATTTCCTAATTTAAAAAATATCTGTCTATTACTAATATCTAAATATACTATCCAAAATAGGAGTGATATCTGCATTATTGGGATATACCTAAGTTTCTGAATAAAATGATGCTTTTTAAAGTTTAACTTTCTTAAGTTTTTTTCCTTGGCCCATTGAAGGCAATGTTGAGAAAGATATATAGCCAACCATCTTCCAAGTTCCAAGGCAAAGAGTTTTCATCCCTAGTAGCTGCTACTTGACTCAACAGTATCATTACAATATTTTATATGCTACTTGCTGACCCATGTTTCAGTAATCAAATCTGCCATTTCACTTTCATAGCTAGACAGTCCTCTGCTCAGCAAATATGGTATTCTGTGTTTTCAATTACATTTTTTTGAGATAAAAGATCTTTTATTTCACATCATGGTAGAGTTCAGGAATTTTGAAAGAAAATATCTGTAATTTCACATCTCTGGAAAAATTTTAGGACACCTGTTTTCTAGCCCTTCTTTAAAGTCTTTCTTCCTTCTTGGTGAATTTTGACTCACCATTCTAATCCAGAGAAAATAAATGAGTAGACATGGATTTTTAATTAGCTTTTATGGTACCAACCTTTCAAGGAATCAGAGATATGACAAATACCTAAAATAAAATAAGATGAAATTGCATTCTGAACATTCACCTCTAATGCACCAATGTGGGCTTGCAAGAAAAAACATCAAGCCTTGTTAGACTTTCATAGAAAGCTTTTATTCTCTTTAAGGGCATTTGCTTATACAGGTTTCTTTGGGGGATTTATTGTTTGGGATTATGTCTTTTATTTTCAGTGGTACACAAACAAGAAAAAAAGAGAAAGAGAAAACAAACTCAGCAAAGAACAATTAAAAGAGTCCAAACCGTACTAGGTTTGAGATTATTTCAAATTCACCCCATCTGAAAACACTCATTAAAGTCTGCATTTGGGTCTGTGGAAAACTTGGTATGTGTTACCAAACAACAAATTATGTTTCCTAACTGATATAAGGAGCATTAGAAAGAGCACCATCTTTAAACACTCATTTAAACTCACTTTTGAAATTAGGTAATATCATATACTAAAAGAGAAAATTGCCAGAACCAATGTCAATTCTCTAAAATATTCTGGCAACAAAACCTGGTAGTTGGATGTTATACAGTATGATTTTACCAAGGAAAGACCAACATACATAAAATATAATTCAAGTACAAAATGGAAGTGGGAGATCACTGTTCTATTCATGTAAAGTGATCTGGTAAGTGATCTTTTAAATTAAATACTCAGGAACTGGACCAAACTTATTTTCATATAAATGAACAGAATCCAACATGAAATCCAGACACGCCTTTGAGGATTCTATGCAAATGAGGAAGACTCTAGCAAAAGTTACACCTTTTAGTCATAAATATTTGCATCACTTAGTTTTGAGTCAGATTGACAAGAGTTCATGTCATTTTTTGTTTTTTTGAGGACGATAGCAAAAGTGACAAGCATACTCTGTGATGCCCATCATTATGTTACTGCCAAGTCATCCACTAGACGTTGGCCTTCTGTTAGTGACCAGAGGAGCAGGCAAAATATGGAAATTCAGTTTCTTTCCCATAAAACACAAATAGCCAGCACTTAAGGAACCTTTGGAAAGTAATCCATGTCCCAGTAATAAAAAACAAAAGGAAAGTAATGACAACAGAAAGAAAGCATCCTTAGAAGATTAATATCATTCTATGCAGTTCTACAGCAGGCCTTGGATATTTATTCTATATGCTGGCTTAACAATGAAAGACACACATGTGGCATGGCTGTGACTTCCTAGTTGCATGCTTTAACTCAAACTAAAAGTTAATAGCAAAAAAAGTCAAACCTTGGGTCAAATGCTCTTTGGTTTAATCTTTACTATCTCCTATCATTTTGGTTTCCTTCTTGAATTTTAAATTAAGCTGGCCCTTTCATCTTCACCCCATTATAAAAGTCAATCACCAAGAACCAGACATAAATTTCAGAATGGTTTTGTTTGTAAGAATTCATGTTTCCAAGTCCAACCCCTTTATACAAACTGTTTTAGGGGGAAAAAAAGATAGGAAAAAAAAAAAAACAGGTGTTTTAACATAGTATTTTATTACAACTTAATCCCATCCTTGAATGATTTTCTTTCAAGTTTCAACCATTTTTTTAAAGTAGTCAGTTTCCTGGTGGTTGCAATTTAATTAAGTAACCTTTCACACTGAGCAAAACCCCAAAGTAAAAGGGTCATTAATCTTTCTAGTGATTAGACACACCGCTAGAGCCTCAAACATTTACCTCTCCTTCCCCGCAGTAGAAATGGTTTTAGGAGGATCACGGTTCATACCTCACACTCCCTGGAGCCAGAGATGGTATATGTGCAGGGACCAGATCCATTAACCGATATATCCATGGTCTCAGAGTTCGTCGGCTTGTAGTCCACGTAGTATTCCTGTAAAGGGGAATTCATTTGTCTCTCTGACTCCCTTGCCTTTTTCCGCCGCCTCTTCATAAGCGAGTGCTGTTGGAGTTGTTTCATACTAGCTGGATACCTTTTCCAAGACACATAGATCACCAGGAGAATCATGGCTACCGAGAGGAACAGAGCCACACTCCCTGCGATGATTTTGTGAAATGACACGTGCTCGTACTCATGATCCGTCCCTGGAATCTGAAAGCCCGGGGATGGACTCGCTGACTCCAGGGTGGCTGGGATGGCATCAGGTTTGAAGATGGTAGGTTTGGGGATGAACGGGGGCTTCTGGGGAGTTTGAGGCGCCAGGTGTGATCTTTCTGTGTTGACCACCTGGACCTCAGAGCAGATGTTGTAAGTCTCCACAGCATCGCTGACCTTCTCACCCTGTATGTGCTTAGGCCCTGCGCATATCATGGTACTCTCTTTATTCCCTTTGAAATTCTTCAGCCAGTAGAACAGAGGACAGATGCTCCGACTGCATTCCCACATGTTTCCAGACAAGGTGATGGATATTAAGGATATCCATGCATTCACGGTCTCCTGGGAGACGTTGGTGAGCTTGTTGGAATCCAAATTCAATTTTTGCAAATTTGGGAGGCATTTAAATGTCCCAGGCTCGATCGCTTGGATGTCATTCCCTGATAGATCCAAGGTGTGCAAGGAACTCCAGGTCCATGTTAGGCCTTGGCTGACAGAGCGGATCCGGTTCCACTGCAGGTAAATGGATCGCAGGTTGAAGAGACGAGGAAAATGCGCAAAGTTGATCTTTGAAAACTGATTGTGCTCCAGATGGAGCTCCTTCAACTTCAGAAGACCAGCAAATGCATTTCGGGATAAGCTTCTGAGACGATTGTAACCCAAATCCAGAAAGTCAAGGTTCCTGCAGTCTTGAAAAACCCTTATGGGCACGGTCTTTAGGGAATTAGATCGCAAGTGCAAAATGATGAGTTTCCGGAGGCCTTTAAACTGCTCAGATTGCAAGGTCTGAAGTTTGTTGTAGGAGAGATCCAGGTTGCGGAGATTGGGGACTGGGTGAAATGTTTTATTGTGCAGATAGGTAATTTTGTTGGAGCTTAGAATTAATTCTTTCAGTCTGCGGATCCCTTGAAAGGCATCTTCATCCACTGAGCTAATGTAATTATGGTCAAGATAAAGCCATATAAGCTGGTTAAGGCCGGCAAACTGATTGGATTTGAGTTTCTGAATGCTGTTGAACCTTAAGGATAAACCTTGTGACCCTCCAGAAATGTTCTCAGGGATGTCTGCAAAGGCGTGAGACTCACAGTACACAATCTTGCCATCGCATCTGCAATTCTTCGGGCAAGCTCTCTGAGCCCCCGTCAGCATAACCAGCAGCAGGGTGGGAAATAGCACCAGAAACACACTCATGCCTTTCAGCTGCGTGTTTAGACGGAAACCTACAATAGCAAAGAGAACACAGATGCACACTGTCAAAGAGTCACAGTACAGCACTAGTGGCTCATCGGGATCAGGAGGGTCCCGTCTAGTGTAAGAATGAGATAGTTCATTTAAGAACACATTTCAACACTTAAATATTTTCTTTCCTCGAGAAAGCTCCATGCTTGCTGTTTAGATTTCATTCTTTCTTCCTTCATCTTCATAATATCACAGAGCTGTAGAACTGTGAAAAACCTCTCTGAGTTTCAACAGTTCTACTCCATCCCAACCCTGAAAAGCCCAGGGCATTTCTTTTTCCTGAATGCTAACATTTGAATAACAATAATGTTTGGCTGTCACTGTATTGACCCATAGGACTACACTGCATCTTTCAATAAGGTCAGAAACATGACTTAGGAAACCTGGTTCTTATACCTTTTTCCTATTTGAGCAAATAGGCTGTGATTTAGCAAAAGAGCTTCCGGGATGCTGTCAAAGTAATCCAAGTTTGCTCTGCCTGAATTACCTACTGACTGCATACAAGGGTTGCAATCTCTGAGACCTGAAAAATGGCATAGGAGTATGCACAGACAGCCCACAAAACATGCTTCATAACAGTGTAAGGTCCCCTCAGTTGGTTAATAAACATACATTATTGCATACCTTGGCCTCATGCCCAGAGACACACGAGCTAAGATACGTGATTACCCATACCACAGCCACCCCCAGCTCTAGCTAAGACGTCAAATTCTCATTCAAAATGTGCAGAATATAAACTAATCGTGTTATTAGAAGATTGCATGGGTTTTTTCCTCTATATAATTGCCCTTGCAAATTTGAGAAATAAATAAGGAAGACCACTATCTTCGCCCCAAGCATCCTGACCTGCTCAAGTCTCTCACTGACTGTTTTTTTCATCTCTCCCCTGACTCCATTAACTTCAGAAAGCCTGCAAAGTTGCAATCTATTAGCATTTATGCCGCATTTTCAAGTCATTGCATGCGATGGGACTCTTCTCCTCCTTCAACAGTAGGTATATTATTTCTTAATGGGGAAGAGACAGACAGACAGACAGACAGAGAGGGGGGGGCTACTGCAGGCTGCAATTTCTTTTCTTCTTTGGTAGTCATCTTTTAACCAAGAGTCAATCAGCCAATATCCTAGTCTAAAAATTCTCCCTCTCTAGAAGAACTGTCTTTTTTTTTCTTTTTCCTCTTCTTCGTTTATTTATTTACTTATTTATTTAAAATTAACTTCATCTTGCACTCGGTCTTCTAGTCAGCTACAGACTCATTGAAATACAACCCAGCTCTCCCAGACAGAAGAAGGGGGGGGGGGAGAGAAGCCAGTCACACTCCAAAAAATAAAACTGGCAAATGACTACTGGAAATTTGGAAGCTGTATTCAGGATGCAGCTTCCAAGATCAAACAAGCCTCCGGGGCCACCTCTTACAAAGTAGGGACCCCACCCCTGCACACACACACACACACACAGCCAAGTGTTAACAGTCGTCCTGACAGCAACCTGAACACAAGCGTGGCTCATATGATCAGGGAACAGAAGCAAACACGGTATTTATTTCATGCTCCATTCCCAAGCTGTGGGTACGCAGACACTAGAGACAGTCTTAAAGCTATCCCTCCAGAGTGTGTTTAAGTCTGCGTTATGCATTTATGGATTTAAAAAAAAAAACTGCCAAAAGAAAAGGATCTAAAAATATAATAGCAACTCCAGTGAGACAACTGGTAAAGTGGAGGTTGCTGCTTTGTGCCTGTTTCCTGGTCTTTTAGCAGCAAATTCCCAGTTGAGGATGAGGGGTTAGGATCAGCTTTGCTAAGACGAAAACAACAAAAGTTCGCTTACCCATCCTTTGTCATCCAAAAAACGTCTGCCCCCCTCTCTCTGCTTTCTTCTTATTTGGTCTCTCCTGTAGAAATCACCACCACCTTCATGACACAGTGCAGCTGTCATTCAAACCATTCTCAGCCCGCATGTGAGCCAGTAGCCCCATGTAAACTTCCCCGGAGAGGACAGGCAGGCAGACACACACACGAAAATAATATAGATATACATACACTTAAAAAAAAAATCAGCAGGGGTGGGATGAAGGGGCAGGAAAGAGGAAGCCGCTCGGGTGCGGGGGTCGGAGGGGGGAGGGCCTCTAGGCTCTGAGGACCATTGTATAATTCACTAGGGACACATTAGCAGTAAATTGGCAATCTGTGAAAAGAGCTACAGCCCATCTCGGAGGTAACCAACTTCTCTGTGGAAAAAGAGAGAGAGCGAAAGAGAGAAAGAAAGACACAGGAGAAGGGGGAAAAAAGAAAAGAAAAGAAAAAAAAAGAAAGAAAGAAAATCCTCAGAATACCTGGCATTCCTTATTGTGCTGGCTTTTGCCATTCCCAGATAAAGCAATTCATCCTCAGGATTTTTCAGTTGTTGAAGCAAGCAGGCCGCCTGTGCTGTGTGAGACCCCAGTTTAAAAGCTATGCGGGCTAGGTTTATCCATTTAGCTGGTCAGGTTGAAAGTGTTTTGTAGCTGTGCTGAGAGGCAGCCCTTGTCTAATTCAGAAGGCTTTCCGGAGACTGATGGTGCTCAGAGCTGGTTGGTGCTAATGCTGGAGTTTGTGATACACTGAGTGCCCTCCGCTGGAGAAAACAGATTGCACATTAAAGACGGGAACAAGTGAGCTTGTCAGGGCTGTGCAGCCTTCTCTGCTCAGAAAGGGAAATTAAAGGCGCAGGATCACTTTTCCCCTCTCTCTCTCCAATAATATAAATTGTGAAAGGTTCCTGTCAGGGTTTATGCTTCACAGCTGCAGCAGATGTTAGCAACTCTCTCTCTCTCTCTCTCTCTCTCTCTCTCTCTCTCTCTCTCTCTCTCTGTCTCTCTCTCTTCCAACGTCTGTGATTAGTAGGTTTTGAAAGTTGTTATGGCCTGAAATGGTTTTCTGTGTGTCACAGATGATACTGTCTCATTTGCAATGACACAAGTAGTTCCTTTTGTATTTATGATTGTTGTTGGTTTGCCTTTATTTATATTTTTTAAGATAGTGACATAAGGAAGATCTCCTACCCAGGAGAGGGCACAATACGGTTGATTTTTAAAAAGTACTTAATTGTGTGAATTTTATGCCTAATCCCTCCATTCTCAGACTTTGTCAATAACATCTATTCTGTCTTCAATTTTGTACATTTATCAAGTGATTTATAATATGATTTTGTAAAAGTTCATATATTTAGCCTTAATACTTTGTCAGATATACTATTTTACCAAGTGTCTGGGTACACAAGCCTGAATTTCAGACAAGAGCTGAATTAAGGCTTTTCAACTTTTTTGCTGGCAATTTGGGGATGAACTTTTTCTTATGCAAATTATCTACTGTGTTGCACAATCCACCGTGAAAGAAAGGAGTGCTCCAGTCCTATGTGATCATGGCACTTCTCTAAAATTTGCAGGCTATCCTAAAATTAGGACTGACAAAATCATAAGATATTAGAGGTGAGTAATTTTTAAAAACCTATACACTTTTTTTTGTAAGCTTCTATGGAATGCTTAAAAATGATAATAATACTTTACCTCCACTTAAAGAACTATTTTATGTATATGGGTATTTTGCCTGCATGTATGTCTCTGCATCATGTGTGTGCTTGGTGTCTACAGAAGCCAGAAGAGGGCATGAGAACTACTGGAACTGGAACTGGAACTATGGAAAGTCAAGTATCCTTGTAGGGGCTGGGAATGGAGCCTGGATCCTCTCCAAGAGGAGTACATTGTCTTAACCACTGAGCCACATCTCTGGCCCTATATGTCCATTGTTGTGTGCCTCAATTTTACTTATTTCATAATTAATTGACAGACAATAATCCAAGAATATCTAGGATATCCCAAGAAAATAAATGCAGTGTAATGCACAGAGAGTCATCCAGGTAGGACTGTACATCTAATTTAGCAGCTTTGAGAACTTCAAAGGGATTTTATATAAATATCTACAACTGGTGTCCATCCTGGCAAATGAATGGTTTTAGAAATACTTTGATTTTTATTAGATAATCAAATAGTATTTATTAAAATAGAATAAAGAGATGAATAACACCCATAATTTGACACAGATTTATGAGCAGAAGGTATAAAACAGTTATCTAATTACTAAGATTTCTCCAAGAACAAAAAAAGATATCTTCTGTCCCCTACATACATCCCTCCCATTAACTGATACCTGAGTTTCCATTTTAGAAATGTGTGCTTTTAGCTTAAAGCTTAATACCTGTTAAAAGGCAAATTCATACCATAAGAGGCAATGTTATTATGGGTACTGAAAAGAAATAAGTCAATCAATGAAAGTAATACTCATACAATGCCTTCAAAATATTGTAGTTCACATGGAGACACAAAACCCACCCATATATTCAATAGTAGTATACTGGCTAAGGGGAAAATATTGATTTGGAAAATAAAAAGGGCACTCTACCAGTAAAATTAAAAGAAACTTTTTGATTGGCTGACTAGATATCATGTATAAAGTAGGGCAAGTAGAATTAGAGAACTCAAGTACTAGAAGAAAATGAGAAGCAGTGGGTTTATTTCCAGGAATATTTTCATTTGCGTGGGGGAAAAATAAAATGTTCAGAGCAGATTTCTGGTAGAAGATGGGAATAGGGTGTATTTGATTTCATCTGCTGTGATATTTTGTCTATATTTTCTAGTTTCTCATCTCATGAATATGTAGTTAGTCATGATGTTTATCTATCCACATATGTGTAAGTTTTCTTTTGTTTGAATCTACAATATGAGAACCCCTTTTGACAGTTGATTAGAAAAAATCTCATTTTTTGTGTGGTAATTTGGTAATAATTTGCTGAGAGTATGAAGATCTGTGGCTGTAGAGATGGCTTAGTAGTTAAAAGCACTTTCAGTTCTCGGAGAAGGCCTGGGTTCCTTTCCTGGCTCCAATATCAGGAAGCTCACCACGTCTCTACTCCATCCCCCTCAGCGAATTTTAGTTGCAGGGGAATGCAGAGCCTCTGCCCTCCATAGGTACTCATGCTTATGTGCACTTCTACACACAAATACACATAGCTAAAAGTAAGATAAATCTCTTGTTTTAAAAGTATTGAGATCTAATAAATACTGGCAGGGCATGGTACATACACACTTGGAGGCATCACAACACTCAGGAGCCTAAAGAAGAGTCCAGACAACCCTGGCCTATGAGCAAAAAGGTGTTTGTCTTAAAAACAAAGTGAATAATCCCTTAAGACCTAATAGATACTGCATTGCAAAGTTGGTGCCATATTCTATTCTTATTTTGTAAAAGATGTAGTCAAAATGTAAAGATGCAACAAACATACTATGATGATGTAAAGAGATACTGAGTGGGATGGAAGATATTGTATGAAAGATTTGTTTGAGAAAAGCCTGCCCAGGTTTTCCTTCTCCCAAGAATGAACATGTGTGCACACACATGCACTACACACACACACACACACACACACACACACACACACACACACACACTTCACTCAAGAGAAAATGTTGATTTATCACGTCCTTAGACCATTAAGCACAGAGAAAATAACCACTGTGGGCTCCTTTTTGAGTGTCCCACAGTGAACCCCCTGTGGAAATTGTATCTGATTCTTGCTGAGGAAAACCAAGAGAAGATTAATGGGTTTCCTAGAACTAAGGAAAGTTAGGTTGTATTGGACACATCTTTCATGTTCAGCATTTGTCTGGATAAAATCATGAATATGAAGCTTCCATGAAAGAGAAGATGGCTAAGTATGAAGTCAGCTTGAGTCCATCTGAAACCCTGATAAGAGATGCAAAAGGATAAGTCTCACTGTTTACTTGGATAAAACAATGGACAAACAAACAAATAAATTAAAGACAAATGTAAGTCAACAAAGTATGGATACATACCAGAAAAATACAAAGGAGAGATCACATTTGTATTCATTAATGGCAGAGAGGCTATTGATGAACTACCAATAAACTTAAGAACAAAAACTTTTCACTGTTTCCTAGGCTCACAGATCACAAATGTTTACAATAGTTTAAGTGATTTCAGTCATGGGAAGGTCAAAACAACAGCTATAAGTGTGGAGGAAGAAATCAAGATAAGAAAATTAAAGACCTGTTGTGTTGTTCTCAGGTAGAAGCCTGTCTGCCATTGATGCTCAGTGAAGAATTTGAGAGGAAAGCACGCTTTCCTTATAGTATGTTGCCCAAGGCAGTTCTCAATCCCAATATGGCTCAAAAAGCCAAAAGATTAGAAGCCTTGGACATAGGACATAAAATATGAGATTTAACTCATAAATTCATCCTAACACTTTTGCCTACTGATGGGACTTCATGAGGAATAAGGAAGAATCTTTTGTTGTTACCACAAATACCTTTTAGTGCCTGCAACTTGGAATTTGAAATTTTCTCTGACAGAAATACACAACACAGAAATCACCAAAGCCTGTAATTCAATGTCTGATTTTGTGTGTGTGTGTGTGTGTGTGTGTGTGTGTGTGTGTGTGTGTGTGTCTAGACCTGAGAAAATGACAGTGAAAAAAACCAAGAAGAGAATAAACTTAACGTTGTATTGTATCTGTAGCTATGCAATTATAAACACTGCAAAAATGAGCAGTATTCTTGTATGAGGAAAGCATATTCTGATGGAGCAATGAAGTTCATCATTTTTAACAAAGTTTACCTAATGTGAAAACAATCAGATGCTGAAGGCCAGGAAGGAGGCTCAGTCAGGCAAGCCAGCTGCGCAAACATGAGGTATCAAGTAAGATCCCCAGTACTCATCTAGGTAGAATCACGGTGGCATAACCTAGTAATCCCAGAACTGGAAAGATGGAGACAGAAGATTACAGGTGACAGTTGGCCAGAAAGCCACCCTACCCTCATCAGCGAGCAGAGCATGGAGTCTCAAAATATATCTCAGGACAATAAGGTGGGCATTTCCTGAGGAGCAACACCCATGGTTGACCTGTGTTCTCTACACACACTCACATGCATGTGTATACACTCACACATAAACATGCACACACTCAGACACTACTTTTGATAGCCTTACATTTGGAGAGCCATAGTGACTTCCTTCCCATCATGAATAGGACTTAGATATATCTTGTTCAGTACTCTGGTCATGCAACTTGTTTTAAGAAAAAAAAAATTGCTAATTTTGGCCTCCTTTGAGAAATCCACTTCCCTCCTATCTCAAAAGTAGTGAAGGACTACAAGGTATGGGGAAGACAACTGGAAAACTAATGTGTACAGCACAGACTCCATTGCAACTCTGCAACTTCTGTGCCAATGTTTCCAACAATCCTAAAATATGCCTGCATTGGAATGCTCATTACTTTCAAAATTGTAATAACATTTGATAGTGACATGGGACATTTGTCTATTTGTACATTTCTGTTTTATATCAAGCATGAACCTGTCTAATTATAAATGAAAAAAGTGCTTTAAATGTGGATTAAATAATTAGTAAATCAGTTGGTCAAGTGCTCTGGCAACCATCAATAAGTCAATAAACCAAGAAGTTAGTTACTATTTGTAAATAGTCAATGTCACCTTCAAAACTTTCCTTCTTCCCTAAGATATTACTTGTTCTCCCTGTTAAAGGTCAATATTGCTAAAATCTTAAAGATACATGTAAAAGATACCTCAACTCAAACTGTTTGAAAAGAAAATATTATTTTAGATAGGTTCAATGAAGATTCCATAGTCAGATAGAGTGGTCCTAGTTGTTA